GGGGGTGAGAACGGCGAGACACAGGCTATTCTCACCAATAGCACTTCCATCTTTTCCAAGACAGACAACCGAAATACCCCCAACAGGTTTCCCCCTGAAACAGAGAGTAGGCATCGTTGGAGCAGCGGACAGTAAATCAATTGTCCAAGAGGAAGGTTCAGGTTCGAGTCTGAGCGACGTTTGTAGGCCTGTCTGTCTCATTCCTCCTGAAGTCCTCTCCTCTCAGCACAAGGTCCTGCCGGGGGAACCAAGTCCTCTGCTTTAGAAATTCCCCTACACTGACTCTTGTCAAAGACAGGGCGAGTTCTCAACAAGATCATTGACTCTCTAAGTGCCCTGGATACGCCATGTTTAAAGTTACAGTTGTCGTCAGCATCTTTGATAAACGTGTTTGGTTTTGTTCTTCATATTATGGTAGTTCTTTATAAACAATCTTCGCCCACTCTTTGAGAAATTGTGTGTGTGTGTGTGTGTGTGTGTGTGTGTGTGTGTGTGTGTGTGTGTGTGTGTGTGTGTGTGTGTGTGTGTGTGTGTTTAATACTACTAAAATAATTATTTTCTTGCGCCAACGCTGACGCAATAAAGATCATTTAAGAGTCCGGCTGCTTCAACTCTGCCAGTGGGTGGTTGACGGGTGCTCTGGTGTGGTTTGCTCCTTCTTTCCTATCAAACATCTATCGTCCTTATCTCTCCTCCTTCTTTTTTTTGTGTGTGTTACTCCCTTGTAACACCTTTATTTTTTGATCGGCACTTATATGACCTTATTGTGTTGCAAGTGCCGTAAAACTCTTACTAAAATCAGCTCTGCCTGCCAGGGCTATCGCAGGCCAAATGGGACACTATTCCCAGCGGACAGACTAAGGTACTTGGTTGTGTGGAACTCACGTATTCGGCGTGCCTCGACGATAGGGTCAAACTGTGACTCCAACTCCAAAGACACCGGTATCCAGTTATGAACACAATTATTAATATTATACAGAACGTGTGTGTTTTATTGGCGTGGGGGGGGGGGGGGGGGGGGGGGGGCGATCAGATAATCAAACAAACAAGAAGAAAAGAAAATAATAATCGCGGCTGCGATTCCGCTGGTGGTACTGATGTCGATTGGATGTCTTTTTTTATTTTGATCAACTTCAAGGCCCCCCGTTGCCATTGTCTCTGAACACTCAGGGCGCTGGTACTGTAGGGCAGGTCAAAACCTACACGCCAAGATCACAACCATAGGCCTAACTAATAAAATGAAACCAATAATCAAGAGGGAGCTGCCATTCTATTCAAGGATGGATGAAAAAGAAAGAAACTGTCTGTTTTGGGAAGACAGAAGGGAGAAGTGGGAGAGGGCGGGGGATATGTCCCAGCTCCGACTGCAAAGGAGCCTCTTGGAAAATATTATTCTAAACGGAATGCAATAAACAATAACTGACAATGACAACCATTTCATCAAAACGAGTAATTACTTTGGACACACATACACACACACACACACACACGCGCGCGCGCACACACACGCACATATATACAATATACACACAAATACACACTCTCACGCACGCACATATGCATAAACACACATACACATACACAAATACACACACACACACACACACACACACACACACACACACACGCGCGCGCACACGCGCGCACACGCACGCACACACGCACGCATATACTTGTAATGTTTAATGCATTATTATCACACATAGAGAGATCTAGATACAGAATAATGTTATGATAAGTCGTGCGACCAAACATTCATATTATTGCTGGTATGTACCTGCTCTCTAGGTGTCTCGTGCCTTACCTGTACGAAGGAGCGAGCCAGAGCTCTTGGGAAGATGACTTGAACCATAGGGTCAGCTCAGGTCTGGAGATGGGCATGGCCTGGGGCCACCTCAAGTTCGGAGACGTGGTGATCCTAGTGGTAGGCCTGGAGAAGGGTTCAGGGAACACCAACTCTATCCAGATCATCACCTGCCCTCACGGAAAGCACGACGGCTGAGGAGGGGACAAGATGGAGGAGGGGATGGCGCCATCTTACGGAATAGAGATGAGAGTGTCTTCGTAGTATTAAGGGAGGCTCGTAGTATTAGGGCAGGGGGTTACGATTTCATGTTCTATTCAAGACAGTTTTAATAAAGGCTGGATATGTGCGATGGGAAGACAGTTATGCACTCAAAATATTATATTCTGGGATCATATTTCTTATTTGATGCAAAATACAACTTGGTTTACACTTGCTCGTCAACATTTACACAGACCAGACCTGACGCTGGCATCGGTGTCCTTTAAAAAGATCATCTTCACGCGTTCACTTTTCTCTTGGCTGAATTCTGGATTCTCTATGAAGAAAAGTTTTGATCTCCTGGCAAAGCATTCAAATACGATTAATATTGGAAAAATCACAATTTTTGATTGAGACAGTCCCGGCGCCGGACTGCAGGAGGACATAATATTATGTTTTTAAGGTAACCAGAACCTGCATTTGGCAGCTTCCATGGCATCCAGTTGTTCTATCCTTATGCTTTCAACACAATAGCTAACAAGACGCAGGATTTGAAAATGAAAGTATAACATTCAAACCTCTGCTTGTTATCTCTTCGGGTTGATTATATTATACTTGAACACATTATGCCTAGTGAACAAGCCATTTTGCCTAAAATATAAATCCATTAGAAATGTCTATAACCGAATAAACGAGAGGAATTAATCTGCTTTGTTTCTGTTGTTCCTTCTTTCCCTGTATTTTAACCAATACTTAAAATCTTGATGCATTCAAGCTTGCATTAAAATTTGGTTGTACAACGTTTTTTGCTGGGCCTCCCCGAGTTATGGCAATAGCCTCTCACTTCAAACTGCAGGCAGTCTGCCCCTCACATTCAATGGTTTTATTCAGCTCACCCCACCTCCCCTTGCTGTACTGGTCGAAATCATAATATTCATTCTTTCAAAAAAGTTTAACTAGATCTAGTCCTTCATCTTTGTCCTATTTTAGTGGAGCTATGTCTAGGAGGTAAGAGGTGAACATTTAGATTTTTTAAATAGTAAAAGACCATAAGATGGGGTTAGGAGTGGGGTGCGTGCGTGCATGCGTGTGTGTTTGTGTGTGTTTGTGTGAGTGTGTGTGTGTGCGTGTGTGTGTGTGTGTTTC